GTTCAAGTAGTTGCATTTTCTTCCTAGTTTAAAACCACTGGTTGACAGGAATGGTAGTAACTATAGACTCTCAATACTTTGAGACTTTAATTAAATAGTTTTCTAGGATGAGAGACTGTTGTAAGCACTTGGGGGGGGGGGGGAAGGGCTTTTTGTCTCCTGTAAGAATTTATGGAAGAAGGGAAATTTCTGTAAGGTAATATGAACTTATTCCTCAGTGTGAGACTTGGATTCAGAGAGAAGTCTCACGTTTTATTGTAACATTTTTCATCTGAATAGAAACAGACTGGGAAATAAACTCTTAAATGTCAAAAAACTGTTATCTAAGTGTCTGAATATATACAATTCCAGTTTGTTATTTCATGTATTTATTCTGTTTCATCACTAAGCTTTTAATCTATAAAATTAATATGTAATATACAAGAGTAAAATGTACAGAAGTACCTTTAGATGTAATAATTTAAACCATCTGTATTCAGAAAGCGGAGATAACAAGTTTAAAGATATACAAACAATTGCAATTCAATTTTAGCGAAATTTCTCGATATCTAGAAAAAGAAGTGGCTTTGCTTAATTAAACTTTATTTTAATAATTGTGAAAATATCTTTTTTAGAGCTTGTTTTTGTTACTTTTTGAATTAAAATTATTTTGTACATATTGTTTTCTATGTTTTATACCTTAGAAAGGCCGTTAATTTGCATTGACAGCAGCAGATACTCAACACAACGATTAAAAGGGTACTTTGGGAGAGTGGGGTGGATGTGGTCAGTAGTCAGATTCATCCTTCCGGATTACTGCTCCTGTTATTTCTGCAGTCTCACTGGCATCACAGGAAGAGTTTTGTGGGGCAATTTAACCAGCTCATTTCGATAGCATTGACTCTCCAGTGTCATTCTGAAGTGCTTACCATTTTCATAACATATAAAGAATATGTATTTTAAAGTTAGTGCTAGTTCTTCTTCCGTTGTTAGGATAAGGAAAAACACAAAACTCAGAAATAAAAGGGAATTCAAAAGATTACACCCAAATACAGTATAAAGATAAGGAAAGGTATGGTATCTCTGTGCTCCTAGGTAGCAGTAGAAGTGATAAAACCTCGTGTTGGATCGGATCACAGAGCCTTTTTTGGGCAAAACTGCTGCTAAGGTCAGTGGTAGTTTCACCTGCATAAAGTTCACTGTGATCATGTCCATCATCTGTTAAGCAGGAATTTCTGGTAGACTGGATTTCGGGGGAAAATACCTGGAGTGTAATATTGGTTTCTGTACCGATTTGCTCTGTGTAAATCACTGGGCAAGAGTGACATTTTGAACTAAACCCTTGTAGATGCTGCTGGGACTTCTAAGCTTTATTACCAATGTAAATTATGTACAAACAGCTATTTCCATATGAAATGTACCATGATAGTTTAGAGCACAGATAGTGAATAACTGTACAAAATTTGATAGTTAGAAAATAAAATACAGTGGTCTAAGCTTTACCAGTATTTTAACAATACTGTCAGATTTGTAGTAGAAAATGTTGTAAATGTACCTTATAAGAAAATACATTTCCTTTTGCCTCTGTATATTAATAGCTTTGATTTCTATGTTGAAGCTCAAAGTGAAGCATGTAATAAAACTTTTGTTAAAATCACTTTCATAATAAACGTAAAATGGAACGGATACCCCTGCCTGCCATTTATTTGTGTACATGGAAAAGGCTCCACGCACCAGTGTAATGTAGACAGGAATCAGAAGAGAACGTCTCTTTTTTTGATAGCATTTACATATTTCAGTCTAATTTTCATCTTTAGGCAACAGAGAGCTTTTTCTTTCTCATCAAACAACTGCAGGTTGTGAGTGCTGGGACACTGAATTAAGTTCCTTCCAAATAGACTTCAAGGGGAGTTTTTCAGAGCAAGAAGAAATCCTGGCTACAGCAAAGCACCACATCACCAACATCCCTCCAGGACCTTTAACCATTTCTTAAAATAACTCTGATGCGACTGTATATATCTCATGCAGGTGCCCTTTCCCTCTATTGAGAAACTGCCTCAAAGAAAGAGGAAGGAAGCTCTTTTCTGCCGGTGGCCTGATGGGCTATTCCTACCACAAGCTGCCGAGAAGACCGGCAACTTCCAAACTCACCCGCTGCTTGTCCCACTGAGGACTAGGTTGAGAGCAAACTATGCTTGCACCCAAAATGATGATTTAAAGAGAGATCAAAAGCGTCCTTTCCCCCTCTAGCCCTGCTGTAGAAAAAGTGTATTTGCCCGGGCCCACCTTGCTGCTGAATTTTACGATGATAGTTACACTTTTGCAGTCCAAGATTACAAAGCAAGCAGCGTTTGTACAATCAGTGGCCCAAGTGAAACTCCTGATGCTGGTAATGATGAAAATGGATGATGACAGACTGGCAGAAAAGAGACTACCTGTAGTGACATCAATAGCTCAGATCTGATTTAAACAATGTTTTGCAGTTTAAGAAGTGCAAGTTCTCATTAAGGGTACACAGCACGCCAGACCAGACAAAAAGCATGGATGTTGTTAATTCAATTGGTAACGCCTGGTAACAGGTTTGCCACACAGCAGTGCTTGTCAGGCGATGAGCACAGCCTGCCGAGCATTGTTGCCGCTACAGCAGCCACCTACTTCAGAACAGGCAGGACACTTCACGTTCATACCAGCGTGGTGCGTGGTATTCTGCTAATGCTCTCGTGTAAGCAGTTTGTCTTGTTAAGAGAAAGCATTTATGGTACGACAGTATGCTCCGCGGATTTTATAGATGTTGTAAATGATATAAATACTATCAGTATGACTGGTGACTGTTGGTGTCACTGACAGGTTTGAAAGGCATAAAGAGACAGGCAGCTACATTCTGACTGGCTGCAAAAAATCAATTACTGCCTTTTTCAGCTAGTAGCAATCCACTTGGGTAATACGGGCAGTTCTCCTCATTACGCTCCAAGAAGATACAGCATCACTTTTATCAGACTACAGACGGTGCCGTGTCAGATGGCGCTCAGCTCTCTTTATAGCTTCAGAGCTTTAAAGGAGTAATAGGAAAAGTCAGCTGCTGTCAAAGACAGAGAAAAGCTGAACTCAAAAGTCCCTAAAGGTCATTGGAAGTCAAATTAATTACTGGTAATGAAGTACCTGCATACGAGGGCTCAAGCCACTGAAAGTTCAGCGGTCGTGACAATGCGTGCAAGAGCAGGAGATTCCAGTTTACTGAAAGAGGCATTGCCTGGTGAGAACGGCAGAGGGGTCCATTCTCGTTTCAGATCTTTCGATGACTTCCCAACAGGCTCACAGAACATAATGGCCTGACGAACAGCACTCCAGCGTGACCCAGCAGGTAAGTGAAGGCAGACTGGGCATATTCGTCTCTTTGCTCAGCCATCAGCACTGACTGACTCCTGGTGTGACAGAGGGGTCTGTCCTGTACAATCATAATGAGCGGCTATTTTTGCCTCTTAAAAATAACATCTAAGTGGGCAGTCAGCTGTGAACCACTGGCAACATTTCTCTGAATCTTCATGTAAGTTGCAAACCAGACATCATTCCCAAAGCATTTTTAGAGACGTTGCCCTGCCCTGGGTGCATTTTCTTTCTCCCTCTGTTTTATGTAGCGGTGCTTGAACTCCTATAGCACACGAAGCTAACACGGCTGCAGTCTGCTTGCTCCTGCCCCTGTGAGCATCTCGCTGCTGCTGCTGTTGCTGCCTAGTGCTCCAACAAATTTCCTTCTGTCATGTTGCTAGGCGGGCAACATAAACATGGATGAGCTTGCTCTAGGTAGCCACTGACTATTTTTGCTACAAAATACTTCTGTGTTTAAAACATAAACCAAGAGAAGTACCGTAAGTGCCAATCTGTGCATTTTATCCAATCTGGTATTTATTTAGGAGTCAGCACTATACCAGTCATGGCTTTTTTATGATCATTGGAGGAGATCCCTCACTGTCTCGCTCTGGAGAGCCCCAACACTGCCTGAGGAGATGGATGCTGGGCACCTGGCCCGTCAGCACCCCGAGCCACTCCAGCACGAAGGTGACACACATGACCTGTTGTCACCTTTGCTGCATGCCTCCTGATGCATGGTGTGAGATCTCCTACACTCCAACAGCACTTCTGAACACGTAGAATAACATGCAGAATAAGATCACCTCCAGCTCACTTGTAGTGTGTGTACAACAGTATTCCTACGTAACGGTCATATTTTTATAAAAGTAACATATTAGACAACAGGCTATGTATGCCTAAAGACACAGGAAAAGGAGGAGCAGGGATCTGCCTTTCTGAAGGCACCCCAGCAGCTTGTGACAAACTGCAGCACTGGCTGTGGAGGTGCAGCAGGATGCCTTGGGACTAAGGGCAGCACGCGGGATTGCCTACATGGACGTGACATGAGGTGAAGATCCTTGGAGCTGCCTGACAAGCTGGTTTTTCATTGTATGGCCAGTATGAGGGCAGCATCCTTCCACCCCAGTACTGCTTGAGCAGCGAGAGCGTCTTTGAAATTAAAACACGTGCACTTGTCAGTGTGTGTTATGTCAGCGCATAATATAAATGCAGTAAATATGTTTCTTGGGGGATACAATGAGTAGAAGTATTGTTTATGCCAGACAATTTGTTTGGCTTATTATCTTTAAGACACTGATCTCTTGTCAAACCTTTAGGCCAGAGACTGGGCCCAACCTGCTAAGATCATTCATCCGCCTGCAAGCTGCCCTCCAAGGCTCTTTTTCTCCAGGGCTTTATTCAAACTCCACGCTCACACAGACACCCGCCGCAAGACCAAAACATGGGTTTAACTCGTCATGCAGGTGCCCATCCAGCCACACAACAGGACAGTGCAGCCCCACTGGCACACAGTAATCAGGGTATGGGAAAGAGACTTCGTATAAGGGCCTTGACGGACACCAGCTGACAGGGGGGTGTTGCAAATTTACCTAAATTCGGTCCTTTATTTTTGTCTCTCCTTCGGTCAGTGGTTCAGCTGCTAGCCATGGCATATGTGGCAGTCTGTTCTACAGCTGTACATGCAGCATTTGCGTGCAGCTACATGCCCGGACATCACTGCAGTTCGAAGCTCTGAGCTGATGCCGCCACAGCTGTCTGAGCCTTACATGGCTCATCAGAGAGTCATGCTCACAGCCTCACAGCTGCCTGCCGTCACTGCCTCTGCACAGGTTCCTTGCCAGGTGAGTGCAAAACACAGTAAATGCTGTTTTGGGGATTCTTGCAGTTAAAGGGACGCAGTACCTTCCCAAAAATATACCCATCCACAAAAGCAGGTAAGCAAAAGCTATACACAATCACTGCTATTTTGATGCAGAATACATTTTGCATTCTTATAATAGCATCTATGAGGCTTTAGGTTCACAGATAGAGCTATGATTAATAAAGTATTTACAGCAAATTATATTCCTCTCATCTAAGCCCCCATCTCTGCTTTCCATGCTTGGAAGTTCTAGTTTTACTGTTGCGAAAGTTGTTTATCTGAAAGCAAATGGTTTCTTTGATAACATATTACAGCATTTATTGTAAAATGCACCAGAAATACATCCCCTCAAGTCCTTGTTATTATTATGTTGAGGGTCTCTTCTGCCCCTTACATCCCTACCTCTCTTCAGGAGAAGGTTTCCATGACACGCTGGCCAAGAGGAAGGTTCTAACGTGAAACAACAGGAAAATGAAGTGGGGAACGCACACCAGATCTATTGGGATCAGCTAGCCATAAACATTTGGAATAAAGCCAGAAACTGCCAGACTCACAAAACTTTGTAAAACTCTAGCTGTATTTGTTGGGGGCAAATGCTGCTTCACATATGCTAACTCATGATAGATTCCCACTACAGGCTGCTACAGGGCAGGAACTAAACAATGTAGTGGTGGATAAGGCATCGGGACTGCTGTGACAACGGCTGCATGGGTTGGCCCCCTGCAGATAGTGCCGGAAGGCTAAATCCTCTTATTTTAGACTGGGGTAGTGGTAGTAAGGTCAGCCTTGCTGAGAATTTTTTGCATTCTCTGCAAATACCTATGATGTAAAGTAACCCATTACATTTAACAAGCACTTTGCCTGAGTAAGGACTGCATTGTTCAGGCACTGTAAATGAGTCACTCTTCCTAAGAAAACAATGAGAACAATATACTGTGGTAGCTTTTTCCTTACAAAGATTATCCCCAAATACCTGCTTTCATAATGAGAGGCTGACAGTGGTATCTCTGGGCTACGGCTCTGGCATCACAGGTGATCTAGGCCACCGGGTAGGAACGACGTTCCCGACAGCCTGACTGTGCAGCCTGGCAGCTGAAGCGGTGCCGGGAAAGCGGTGAGTGCTGGAGTCCGCTCCCTGCTCCAGGAATTACTCCTGTTCTGGAAAACCAGCAAAAAAGTGGGGTAGGCTGCCAAGGACAGCAGTTGAGTAAGACGGCATTAGATAACTGTTGGACAAAGTCGGGACTAGCCCACTTACAGTTGCTTCTGTACCTCGGGGTGTTATCTACCCTTAACCCCAGTGATTCTGACTGTGTTTTAGTCCTACTCGGAGGTTATCAGCAGCAGCGTAGCCTGCCCCCAGACCCGCAACCTCACCCAAACAGCCTGGAACCACAGACAGCTGGCCAGTGGCCAGAACTCCTACCCAGAGTGAGGTGGAAGTGCAAACAAGCACTGAGAACACACCTGCCTGCGCTTGGCGAGAGCAGGAGTTGTGTAAACCTCGTGTTGGAGCAGCATCACGTTCCCCTTGCCTCGGGACTGGGCATGATCAGTGTGGCTCTACTGAGTAAAGAAATGAAAATATATCTCACTTTTCTTACTTGGTCTGTCTAGGGAAAAGAGATTGGCTTTTTTTTTCCTTTAGGTAATTAAAAAGTTTGACTTAACTATAAAATTATTATTATGATGTATTTTCTGGGAACTTTCTTATTTTTATAAAGTCATCTGGCAAAAAAAGAAGTAAAAAACCAACCAGTTCAAATTAGCAGTAGTAAACACTCCCAACTTGAGACAGCATTTGGTGTAGTGAGCAAAATCTATGCAAAAAAACCAAGTCGTGTAACTTGATATACTCGACATAGACTGTGTATAAGTGTATCACGTTGTGTGCGTACATAATATGCCATCAGGTACCGAGTCTAAGGCAAAGACAGAAATGAGGGAAGGGTGGCACTGGGATCCTTTTCAGTAAGCAGGATCCCCACGAGGACTGGTAAGTGATCTAGTCTTTCACATTTTATACTACTAGTGGAAGATCACCACCACAGCCATCCTCCTTTTCCAAACCGCGATATTAGCAAAAAAGTCCTCAAACTCAGAGTAGCGTGGCGGGAACGCAGTCAAGGAACACTGGAAATACAACTATTTTTTCATCTTCCACTGTTTAATGAGGTAGGTCTCCTTAGCGACATCCTAGTAAAGCCTTTGTGCCAGGGAAGTGTGGGAACAGAACACAGCACGTGGTGAGGCAGACACAGCCTCAGGCAAAGAGGAAGATTTGTCTGCATTTGCTATTCAGATACCCAACCTGAGGATTGTGCTGGATCCTCAGCTGCAGAATGGTGATGCGTAGTTACAGCACGTAGGCACCGTTTTTAATCTCTCTCTGCTCTCTCTGCGCCTGGCCAAGCTGTTGCAGCACTTTGATTTCCAGAGCCTTCACTTGGTAACTCTGTGATTAGGTGGTGAGAGGGATTGCTGCTCTCGGTAGTTATATAGGACACCAGTCCAGCAACACAGGACAGGGCAGTGAGCAAAGAGGTATTTCTTCAACATGGCATTCATGTACATGCCCCGCTGACTGCGCTCCATGAATTTGAGGCTTTCCTGACCAGCTACTGACCCTAAATTCCTATTTCTGGAACCTGCCTTTTATTTCCAGGGCTGTAGGACACCCCTCCCAGCATGGTGCCTGGCTTGATTTGAGGAAAAGCAGTTTCCACCGTCCCTGGAGCAGACGATCCCCAGAGGGAGCAACGCAGGCGTTCCCAGCAGCAGCAGCAGCTCCTTGCTAGCCACAGCAGCAGGCACAGCACAGCCCCAGCCTGTGCTTGGAGCAGCCGCCAGCGTCGGATGCCTTGCTTCACTCTTCTACCTTTAGAACCATACCTGAGTTGACACCAAAGTTACCAATAATGTTTAGGAAGCCACAGCTTAAACTGGTTTAGGCTATTCCCTACAAATTCTGGGAAGGAATGGATTTTCTTAGAAATGTCTTCTAAAAAGAAAATATTCTAAAATGTCTTCTAAAAAGAAAAAGAAAATACAAGAAAAATACTGGGAAGCCACCTTCCTCCTACAGGTGCTTGCAAACACACCTTCCTCTTACACTGACCGATACTGAAGAGAGGCCTAGCGTTAGAATTCACTTGTCACAGTTTAAAAAAAAAAAAAAAAAGGTTTAATTTAAAAAATTATTGTTTGGCACCGTAGGCGGTGCCAGTTTTTCCTCTGCGCACACAACTCAAAGAGAGCATTTCCCGGGGCTGTGGCCGGTAGTTAGCCCCTCTCATGCTTCGCCCCCCACTTGTAACCCACTTCAGAGGCTATGGCTTGGACCTTCCCGAAAAGCCCCTTCATCGTCCAACGCTGGGAAACTCAGAACATCTTGTGGCCAGCAGCGCGCCACGAATGCTGTGATTTTATTAAAGCTTAAGGGCAGGAGAAGAAAGCACGAGCAGACCCACACCTGCTCAGCAGACTAAAGCCCCTTGAGCCCCTCTTTCCTCGGGGGCGACTGGAGAGCAGCCGTGCCCGTCCGGAGGCGATCCACC